ACCAATAGAAAATGAGGTAATTGTAATTATTGACTATGAAAAATACAGACTGGAGAAGGGTGTCATTTAGTGGTGACGGTGGTGGGGAATCATGAGAATACAACATTCAGGAATGATTAAATCAAAATCTAGATTCTAAAATAATTTCACACTCACTGCTTGCCATTTCAATACACCTTCGCAGTAGAGGATAAAAGTGAGCAGTTACCAAGTAAGGTAGGCCATAGTCTAGCTCACTTTTACTTTGGTCCCTGGGAATGGCATTCACTTTGCAATGTGAGATTTGCTGCTCTTTGGAAAACATTATCAGTCAAGTTAATGTCTAAGTCATCATCAAGTCTAGGCTATTGTTCCTCATTTGGGTTGGCACATTTTATTTGAACAGGAGAGACAACAGAATTAACATTTTTGAGATTCTCAACCAGTTGTATAATTAGAGGATGTAAAAAAGCCAGCAGTATGTTTTAATAAAACAGATTTTATCATTGTAACAACACCAACAAATGTAATGAAGACAGTAAAGAAATTGATACATTTGGGTTAATGTGTTGGAGGAGAATATTAAAAGCACCAGCGGCTGCCAAAAGAAAAAGCAGATCTGTGTTGGAAGAAGTATAGCCAGAATGCTCCTTGAAAGGCAGAATGGCCAAATTTCATCTCTCATACCTTGGACATATTTACAGGAGGGACCAGTCTCTGGAGTATGATATCATACTTGGTAAAGTGGAGGGTCAGAGAAAAAGAGGAAGACTCCAGATGAGATTGATCAGCAGTTGCAGCAGAAATGGGCTCAAAGATCGTGAGGCTGGCACTGCATCAGGCAGTGTTTCGTTCTACTGGGCATAAAGTTGTTGTAAGTCGGTACTGACTCGATGGCACCTAACCACCACCACACATGGTAAATAAGTAACATACATACCCCAAGTTTACCTTGTCAAGACTGCCTCCATATACTTCATCTGAGCTCACATAAATGAATTTCTCCACTCTGGCTTCATAAGCAGCACTCACCAAAACATGAGTGCCGTAAACATTAACATATGTAAACTCAAAGGCTCGTACAAATGAGAGATCTAAAGAAAAAGAAGAAAAAACGTTAAAACCAGTTCACTCAAGGAAGAAAAGAACGAGACAGTATACTCAGGATTAGTAACTGCAGTATTACCCCAACTATAACCATTTCCAAAACAAAGTACAAGTGTATTGCATTTACTTTTTCTTTCATCTTAAAATGCATAGGTTTCCATGGCTGTAAACTTTTATCGAACCAAACCGCCATGTCTTAGTCCCAAAGGAGCTGCGGTGGGTTCAAAAAGCCAACTTTTCAGTTAGCAGATGCGTGCTAAACCATTGCACTGCCTGGGCTGCTTAGGACTTTGGGAACAATTAGCACTAAATCTGAAGAAGACACTCGTCTTTCCATTTCTAAATATAAAATGCCTTCAAATTTTAACACACAATGAAACTTCTGGTTCCTTCTAGCAGAGAGCTGGGCTTTTTCAATATTGCTGAGAGTAATAAAAATGATGGATAAGTTACTTGAAAATCAAATCACCTTAAAAGAATCGTTAATAAACATATAAAATATAAACTCATTCCGAAAACAGTTTTGAAAATACATGTCAAAAACAACCTCATTAGCAATAAGAAAATGCAAATTAAAACCACAATGAGATGCTCATTCCTGACAAAAATGAAGACATCTGACAACTCTAGGCTTTAGTGAGATCTGGAGCAATAGGACATTTTATCCACTTCCCCAAAGAAGTAGAAACTGGTACAATTACTTCGGAAAACAATTTAACATTATCATAACGGTGAAGATCTTGTGGTCCTATTAAATGTGCATGTCAGAGAGAAATGTGTGTTTATGTATACTAAGATACATATATATATGTATCTTGACAGTAATGTATCGTTGTTGTTGTTGTTGTTATGTGCCGTGGAGTCAGTTCCGACTCATAGTGAC